ATTTTAATTTTGTGTATGACAATTGGCTTTTCTACTCCAAGTCTCTAATAGAGACTTCGTTGGCGATCAAAAGTATAGAGTCTATACTAACATAAATAAAAATCATTTGTTTATTATATAATATAATGTGTTCAATAAGTGATTGGTAAGTTGTACAAACTATTAAATATTATATTCAGTTGATTAAAATAGTGTTGTAACTTATTTTAAGTCCAATAAAAGTAAGTTACCTTATCTAATATATTTAATTAATATTTTATATATGTTAAATTTCTGTGAGTATTACAATTGTCCCGACAACAAGAAACTTATGTCTTTATAATGTGAAATGAAGTGTAAAATCAATTTTGTATAAATTCTAAATCAATGCACTTTTATTTATAGAATTGTGTCTATTTATAAATAAAATTATTATTTTATACAAACAATGTTTAAATAAGTTATATAAAATATTGTTTGAGATTATATTTCTTTAGTATTAATAACAATCGTGTAAAACAAATACATTAAAAGTGATGACAAAAGAGTGGGAGTAATCCCTTTTAAAATGACAAACAAATACTTTTATTTAATTTAAAGGTTTCTATTATTTAATTGCATTTTTATACTTATATTTTCACTATTTATATAGTATTTCTGTAAAATTAATAGTAAACTCTAATCAAACACATTTAACTGTATGGTATATATTATTTTAATCGATATATGCACATAAAATAAGACAATATAACAATGTAATTACTTTGTTGTATCAAATATTTATCATGTTTTCGTACAAGAATTCACTTGAAGACAAAAATTATAACAAGGAATTGAATATTTAAATCCATTTACGACTAAAATGTTTAATAAAATAAATATTTCATGAATAAAACAATTATTGATTTTTAAAATGTATGCAATCACCAGTAATATTACCAACACTTTAAGTTTAATAAAAACCAGAATATTAAAATATATGGGCTTTATATCGATATAATGTACTAATGCATCATATTTTAGACGTACATAAATATTTAATCAATTTATTAATTTTATACTTAAGAGAGATGTGAGAATATTTATTAATTCAGTAGAGAGTTTACCAATTTTTAAAAAAATATCAATTCTTAACTAACATTAATGATATTATTAATATCATTATAGTAAATTATTTGTAATATTATACATTATTTAATAATTGGTTTACCAATAATAATTGATTATTCACAAAGATATTTCATTTATGTATTGAGAAATGTTAAAACCAAATGCAATTTTGAGTAAAAGATCGTATGAAATAACAATTAGGTAGTCGTTGTCACGGAGTACTTATTAAGCAGCTAGAAATTAATCTTATTAATACATCACATTGTTATAAATTATTACATAAATATTCGCATCAATAAATCATTCCCTATAATTTAAGTTATTTTATTGTAAATAATGTGCTTAATATTTTCAAAATATGCATTTTGACAAAATTATTATTTTAATGATTAAGTGAATAACTGAGAGAGAGAGAGAGAGAGAGAGATTAGTGAAAGAAAAGAGGAAAAGCATAAATGTTGATGTTGTCGTATGATTCCATTAAAATATTTACTGATATTTAAATCTTGATTAAGTCACTAATATATTAGACTTTTGATTGCATTACAGGAATAATTTGCCTATTCTTATGTGTTTTCTGTCCACTGATTTCTCTAATTATTTCACACAATGATGTCTAACAACAAAACTCTTAACAATAAATCGATTTATTGATTTTTCATTTAATAGAAACTACAATAATATTTGATATTTTCTTTTATTTATTAACAAATAAAAGATCAAAATGACTATTAATGAGCAAATTTTAATACCACTTATAATTAAAATTCAATATAATTCCTACTGATTAGTAGATTTAATGAATTTTGCTCATTATTGTACACATGTTTATTAAACAAGTCATATAAACTACTTCATGGGAATATAATTAAATACTAATTTGTATTTAATATTATTTTTAAAATTTTAAATAAACAAAATTGTATTTATTTATGTAAGTGAAATAAGTATTTAGGTTTTCGTTCAGTTTACTATTTACTGTAAGCAATGTATTGTATTTTTGTTAAAGAATTTGCAAAGAATCGTTTACTTCACACTGAATTGTAAGTCAAACTTAATATCAAACAATCCTATTGTCAAACCAAAAATTATATTAAAAATATTTTATGTTTAAAACACGAAAAAGTTGGCATTTAATTTGTTTTAGGTCCCGAAGGCAGTTAAATAACGATACAGTGTGACCCAGATTTGTATAGCATGATGATTCTGTTACTGAGTTGCCTGTAAAATTCAAGTCAATAAACCATATACTCAACTATACATTCAATTAAAATACTAGCAAATAAATTAAGATTTTTGCTAATAATTTTTTCTTTTTTATGGCATTTCAAATATAGTGATATTTTTTCTACTATAAGTTATATGTAAAGTTTAATGTTTAATGTTAGTTTAATGTCAACAGAATTAGATGTGATAAATGTATGGAGAATGTAATGCTCTATAATATACGTACAAAATGTGTTTTATATAGTGATTGTGCGTTAAACTTTAAAATGAATTGACTGCTTAACAAAATGCAATATTTATTTCATTGTTTTTATATATCGAAAGTGATTGGAATTGAAGAGAAAGGATGTGAACTGTTGTCTCTATGGATACCTTCTCTTCAATTCACAGTCGATTCAATTTAAAGCTGCAAAAAAACATATGTATGGATGGATTGTTAGTCTCTTTTCTAAGCCCTATATTTGTATTGTACTCTATATTAGCTTTATTACGAGAATGTAGTCGACTGTATATAACTCTTCAAACATGAATGAGTTTCTCGAATAATTTTTAATGAAAATTGTTTTGTTTAATATAAATAAATACTTTTTGTTTGAATATCTCATTTAGCAATTAGAGTAATACTAAGAGGAAAAGCGCACTCAGAGTGGAAAGTTGTGGTCAGCGGCGAAAGAAGGACTGTTAAGGACGACCAGATTTTTGTCGACGAAAGAACCACTATATGGGGAAAGGGTTTGTTTGTTTGCTTCCCATTCTTTCCAGTCTTCGCATCCAATTTACGCTATTATTTCATGAGTTTGTAAATATATTTTTCAAATAATTGAACTTACATTTTAAACACCATTTTATTTGACATGAATATATAAGCTTACGAATTGTTAGAATTTTTAATAAATACGTAAAGTATTGGTTTAATAACATTTGTATAATATTTTCATTAATATTCCATATAATTTGTAGAATGCCTTAAAATGAGGCACATTTTGTAAGTCTTTTATTTCTTTATAAATTGAATGAATGAATTATAATGAGTTATACTGTACTGAACAAGAGTTATACTGTAATCTACTTTACATCAACCATTTCTGCACATAAGTGCCACTCGCCAGAGATTCTGCTGTATATTAAGTATTATTCAGTAAATTATTCTTTAGCTTTACATTATTCTGTAGTAATAGTGAACTAATGCTATCAAATTAAGGGTCAAATTCTGAATATTGTAGCGTATGTACAATGTATAGTTAGCACTATTTACTAAAACAATAATTTTTGGTTTGTCTGATAAGTTATAACGCAATTTATTAAGTAAAACATTAATATTTTACACCATATATTTATTGCTACTTTTTCTGTGTGCCGAACCATACTTTTCAATTAATTACAATACATTACATTTAGTATTGTATGTCATATAATGACATGTATTGATATGATTGCAGAGAAAGGCGAGGGCAATATGTCGATCCTTCCTCGGGGTCATCACTCATTTCCTTTCAAATTTCATTTACCCGAAAGTTGTCTGCCGTGCAGTTTTGAAGCCAAGCCCTGCACTGTTAGGTAATGTACTAAACAATTGGTTGAAATATTTTCATAACTGGTAGACATGTATAGGTATTGGGTTAAAGTGACAATTGATATTCCGTACGCATCGCCCCCTCAAGGGATGAAGTATTTCACAATTATAGGGCCACACATCGATTGTATGGACGAACAATACCTCGTGAGTGCATTGGATTTATTTGTTTTTCTAATTAACTATATATTTATTTATTAAACTTTACAACTATATAAATAGCTGATTAGTGTATTTAAGTATTGTTTTGTAAATTTTATGCACTTATAAAGTTATATTTAGAGAGAGGGAGAGAGAGAGAGAGTTTATTTAAAATGAAATGAGAGAGTCTATATATTGTGTTGAATAGAAACCATTAATTGGTTCGGACAAGAGATCTGTTTGTTGTCTGTGTTGTCAAAGAGGAGTCGTAAGTCTGAAGACACTAATGGAAAGGACAGCCTATTGTTGCGGTGAAAGTATTCGTCTCAAAGCAGATATCGATAATCAAAGCGAAGAGAATGTGAGACTGAAGTTAAAACTTGTTCAGGTATTGCACTCTCATTGCATTCGCATTGCATTGCATTTGTATTGTATTTGACGGTTAGTGTGGAAAATGATGTGAAATTGTTTACTCTATTTGATAGTACGTCGAGTTCTTTATAGAGCGCGGAGTATTAGGTCTTAGCAAAGAAGTCAATCATACGGTTCTTGAATACAGAGGCGATCCAATACTTCCATCACAAAAGTCTCGATTTGAAAGTTCAAACAGTTTTGTTGTGCCAATAATGCCTCCAACTCTGGTCGGCATTTGTAGACTTCTCCAAATTTACTATGTTTTGAAGGTTTGCAATCATTTCTACATTTAAACATTCTTATATTCCTATATTTCTATACATTTTATACAATTTACATAACATTTGGTTCAGTTATTTTAGTAATTCATATGTTTAAATATTAAATACATTTTAATTGTAGTTTATAAATTGTATTAGTTTTTGTTCACTCAATTATTAATTACAATGAACTCAGTCTTACTATAATTTGATTAAAAATACTGTATTATTATTTAATGAAAATCTAAGCAGTGCAATTTTATATTATTATTCATTACAATATTTTTGTTGTGAGAAACAAGTGATAAATTTGAAATATAAGAATAAAATTGGAGATAAAGTGAAGAATAATAGAAAAGCATTATTTTTATGTTGTAATTGAAGA